GTGGCTGGTGCCTTAGCTGCTTGAGCCACAGGCACCGAGCCGAGACTTTCTTATTAATTTGGAAATATATTCATAATGTCTCATTAAGTTGTCTTTTAGAAGAGGCTATTATAAAACACAGTGGATAACACAATCTGATGTTCTAAAAAGACATATTTAAGGAAAGAAATACATAAAACTCTTTTTTTTTTTTGAGACAGAGTTTCACTCTGTTGCCCTGGGTAGAGTGCCACATAGCTCACAGGCAACCTCAAACTCTTAGGCTCAAGTGATCCTCTTGCCTCAGTTTCTCTCTCTCTCTCTTTTTTTTTTTAAGTAAAGATGGGGTCTACTCTTACTCAGGCTGGTCTTGAACTCATGAGCATAAGCAATCCTCCCACCTTGGGTTCCCAGAGTACTAGGATTATAGGCTTGAGCCACCATGCCCAGCCTACATAAAACTCTTAAAAATATCTCTAGATGATGGCAGTATTGGTGATTTTCATTTCTTTTCTTTTTGGGTTTTCTTTATTTTCTTATTTGCTTTATAATGAATACTTCAACTTAATAATTTTTAAATATTAAAATAAAATTCACCGGGCCGTGCATGGTGGCTCATGCCTGTAATCCTAGCACTATGGGAGGCCAAGGTGGGTGGATTGCCTGAGCTCACGGGTTTGAACCAGTTTGAGCAAGCAGGATACCCTGTCTCTTAAAATAGCTGAGCATTGTGGTTGGTGCCTGTAGTCCCAGCTACTTGGGAGGCTGAGGCAAGAGAATCACTTAAACCCAAGAATTTGAGGTTGATGTAAGCTGATGCCATGGCACTCTACCGAGGGCACCAAGTGAGACTCTGTCTCAATAAATAAATAGAGCTAGGAGCCTGTAGCTCCAGTGGCTAAGGCACCAACCACATATACCAGAGCTGTGGGTTTGAATCCAGCCTAGGCCTGCCAAACAACATTGACAACTACAACCAAAAAATAGCTGGGCACTGTGGCAGGCACTTACAGCCCCAGCTACTTGGGAGGTTGAGGCAAAAGAATCACTTATGTCCAGGAGTTGGAGGTTGCTGTGAGCTGGGATGCCATGGCACTCTACCCAGGGGGCATCTTGAGGCTCTGCCTCAAATAAATAAATAAAAATAAAATTCACATAATAAAGGTTCCACTGGCAAGCTGTCACTAAGATCAGGCCAATAAACTCAAATTTGATAGAAATGGGTCCTATTCCTTCTCCAGAATACAGATTCCTCAGAGAATTCTGAAGAAAATAGTGCTGGAGTCTCAGACAGAATGTATGATCCTGCCATGCTGGTACCAACTTCTGATATGGCAGTAATTTTTTTTTTTTTTTTGAGACAGAGTTTTACTATGTCACCCTCGGTAGAGTGCTGTAGCATCATAGCTCATAGCAACCTCAAACCCTTGGGCTTAAGTGATTCTCTTGCCTCAGGCTCCTAAGTAGCTGGGATTACAGGCGCCTGCCACACACCTGGCTATTTATTGGTTGCAGTTGGCCCCGGCCGAGTTTGAACCTGCCAGTCTCAGTGTATGTGGCTGGTGCCGTACCCACTGTGCTACGAGACTGAGCCTATTTTTTTTTTCTTTTGAGATAGAGTCTCACTATGTTGCCCTTGGTAGAGTGCCATCGAGTCACGGCTCACAGCAACCTCAAGCTCTTGGTCTTAAGCAATTCTCTTGCCTCAGCCTCCCAAGTAGCTAGCAATATTTTTTAAAGATTTATTTTATATTTATAAATGAGAACGGCTTAGAATAAATTCCCGTAAGGTCTTTTCAACTTAGAGATACCATGACAATAATGAGCAGATAAAAAAATGGCGGGGGTGGCTAGACACACAGAAATGCCTGGCTGCTCTTCAGTGCTTTCCAAGCCCCTTCTATTTAGATTCAGAACACTGGAAACCTGACACTCCAGTTAGGCCGGAAATGGGCATAAAGACTCCACAGCAGAAGCTTTGGAGCAACCCCTATCAGGTCAGAGTGGGATAAGCCTATTGTGTGGCCTAGAAGATAAGCTTCCTCAAAGCACAAAGCTTCCTTTTATTTCTTATGCCCAAAGGCAGGTGCCAGCACCAACTCTGCTCTCCCCCAGTCTCTGCTTTCCCTTCTAATCCAGATACTTTGAGCCCAGAGAAATACATTACCATCACTCGCCAACTCTCAGGCATCTCAAGTGTGATGAGTCTGAAAAAGCTGTACTAGACAAACATGGTGTCAGATGTCAGCTGAGAGAAATCAAAGTAGAATTTGCACAAAGCCTTTCTTTAAACAGTATTTCACTGTCATTTTCCTCCCTCTATTTTGTGTTTGGCTTTGATGTAGTATTTCATGAAGCCTTTAGAAAACAATTGTTTATTATCAATGTCAAAACCATACTAAAAAGCATCAGAATAGCTTAATAAAGAATAAGCAAATTCATCCTTACTTTGCTGCAGTGCTAAAACAAAAGGCCTTGGAGCGTCTCATGTGATAATCATCAAAAATTTCAGCCCAACTCCCTTTTTTTTTGAGACAAGAGTCTCCGTCTGTTACCCTCAGTAGAGTGTTGTGGCATCATAGCTCATAGCAACCTCAAATTCTTGGGCTCAAGTGATCCTCTTGCCTCAGCCTCCCACGTAGCTGGGACTACAGGCACCCACCACAATGCCCAGCTATTTTTTTTAGAGACGGGGTTTTACTTTTGCTCAGGCTGGTCTTGAACTCCTGAGCTCAAGCAATCCACCCACCTCAGTCTCACAGAATACTAGGATTATAGGCATGAGCCAAAGCACCCAGCCTTCAGCCTCCCTTTTTTGAAGTATAAGCTAGTAGTTCAGGTCTAGTATATTCCATCAAATGAAAGGAGAAGTTGTAACCAGCCAGAGCTAAGGAGAAAGGTGGTCCTTCCTGGCTCTTACCACTCTCTTAATGGATTCTTACAGGAGCCTGTTAGTAGAAATGGGTGCTAATCTACAGGGGAAAAAAAATCTTACATATAAATTAAGCCTCACTGGGGTGGCGCCTGTGGCTCAGTGGGTAGGGTACTGGCCCCATATACTGAGGGTGGCAGGTTCAAACCCAACCTGGCCAACTGCAACAAAAAAATAGCCAGGTATTGTGGCAGGCATCTGTAGTCCCAGCTACTCGGGAGGCTGAGACAAGAGAATCACCTAAGGAGTTTGAGGTTGCTGTGAGCTGTGACGTCACAGCACTCTGGCAGTAAAGTGAGACTCTGTCTCGGAAAAAAAAAAAAAAGAAGAAAGAAAAAATAAATTAATTAATTAAGCCTCACTATAAATTTAAAATTTACTTTAAAGTTAAACTTAAAAACAGGAGCTCTTCTAAGAAGACTTGTTTAATATGAAGTAACAGAGTAATAGAATAAACCAACAGCCTACTACCAAGAGGCACCTTGGAACAAGAAGATAAGTAATTATGTCAAAACAAAAAAACAAATACTTGATTCTCTTCCTAAACATTCTTCCCAACCCAACCCAACCCAACCCAACTATTCCTATTAAAGACAAACTAGGGGAAGGTAATAAACCAGAAATGGGGAATGAGATTCATTTTTTAATTTATGCAAAACAGTATAACTTTGAAAATAAAATAGAAAATAATTATATGATGAGCCTGTATAACTTCAACAATAAATAAAATACAACAGGTAGCAAAATGTGAAGTGGCAAATATATAAGTTGTTATCTCTGGGAATATGGACTTAGTAGGGGAAGGTCTTTTGGAAAGAGGTAAAATGGGGAATTTTAAACAATATATGTCTGGATTGTTTGAGAAATATTCTTTTGGAATAAGCTTTTAACACTTTTATAATAACAGATAAAAAATAATACATAGTTGCTACAAAGTAATGCAGAGGTGAAGAAAAGCGCTGAAGGCACAAGGATAAGAGAAACACAAACTAATGGCTTGGAGACTTCAAGACAACGTCAAGGGCTCTAGAGTATTAGCAAAGGTATGTAGAGGGCAGAGGGTAAACAGTGTGGCCCACACAATACAGGAGTATACATGTTGGCTCAGCTGGGTCCACAGTGAGACTCCAAAGTATATAGAACCAGGGACATGGTATGTAGCTCAGCATATATCTTAGAATCATTTTTCTCTGTCCCACTGGCTCAAGAGGCTGCCTTTGCACCTGTCCTAACAATAATTAAATTCAACACATTGCTGAAATATGAGTCATGTTACCAGGATCTGAATTATAAGTAGCAAAAAATATATAATCGGGGAGGCGCCTGTGGCTCAAAGGATTAGGACGCCGGCCCCATATGCCAGAAGTGGCAGGTTCAAACCCAGCCCTGGCCAAAAACTGCAACACCCCCGCCCAAAACCCCCATAATCAAAAGTGTTTACAATTTTTGTTTTGGTCTGTACATATCAGTGATTCTATCTCATAACTCTGAGAATCTGATCAAAGCCATAGGTCATCTCCCCAGAAAACTGTGAATACCCATCTGAAGCACCATGGATGTCCCTCCAGGATAAAGAGCCCCTTCCAGAGTCAGACAGGAGGTGAAAAGCAAAGAAATACTTTAGTTTGTTAAAAGGAAGTAAATAGCACAAATCTGACAGATACAGCCAGCTGCTCCCAGAGCAAGGTTACCCTGGGTAGCCAGAGGTGGAATAATGCAGGCAGCTTCCTTTGCTCAGAACAAGGGAGGTGTGGGTCACAGATGGTGCTGTTTGACCACTACATTCTCAGCAGCTTAGGCAGCTCTGCTGTCTATGTATTACGCACTGGAGGTAAGGCCAACTAAGAAAACTTGCCCAATGAGACAAAAAAGTGATCAGACAGGAAAGGAGAGCTCTGAAAGCCAGCATTGAAGCAATTCAAATTAAAAAGAATGGTAGATTGTGATGATTGTGTGTATGTGTGTAAGGTGTGGGAGAAAGACTTTTAAAAATAGTAACTGAGAAAGGCCTTCTAAGTTGGCCAAAAGGAGACAAAAAACCTTTGCTTAGTTGTGAGCAGGAATGGAATAGATTTTTTAAAAGTATTAGTTGGCCTCATCTTACCTGCAATAGTTATGCTCGCCCAGGCCTCCCTCCCCATTGGGGTATTTCAGAGTGTTGTATGGATGCTGGAAAGTCTCGTTCCAGAACAGACATGGCTTCCCCCCTTGTAGCGCTGTCCAGTTCTGCGTTCCCCTATAATCTGCACCATTGGCTGTGAAACACTCTAGAAGAAAGAAAAGACAGAGCAAACTAATTTTCTGGCAACATCTATAGTTTCCTCCCTCTTTGGTTGATATTTTATTTGTTTTGTTTGGACCATGTTGGTAATGGAGAGTGTCTTGCTAAATGCTTGACTCAGGGTAGTTAGCACTGCTAGGCTGGGTAAATCTGAAATGAGGTATCCTCCAAAAGCTACACTAACCTTGGCACAAGCTTGTCTGTGGACACTAGAACACTTTCCCCTAAGTATAAAGATCCTAACTACGATAGAAACAGGGAGCTGGAGTGTAGTGAAACCCATGAAGTGAACCAGGAAAACTCCAGATAAGGGAACAGTTGGTAACAGCCATCCATGTGGAATTCTGGGTACTTGGGGGTTATTGCTCTCACCAGTGTCTCTGTGCAGTAACTAGAACCAGGTCACCAGTTGTAACTGAGATCTCCTCTACAGTCTGAAAAGGCTGCACTGACACTTGGATTTAATAAGACCATCGGATACAGCAATGCTTTGGAATCCCAATCACACAAATCTGGGAATGACTCACATTCTCTGGTAATGAAGAACAGTCTTCCCCATGCTGTTTGAGATAGAAGAGCAACAAAACAGCCAGTCAACACGGGGGAGGAGAGGTTGGCATTTTCTCTCACCTCTTTCTGAAATTCCTACACAACACACTGAAAATGGTCTCAGATCCAACTTAATAAAATGACAAATCCTTGCAGGTGCAATAATGTGCTTCTAAAATCTGCGGCTCAGACTTTGGGGGATGGGAACGGAGGCTGATAGGATTTCTCCCCACATATTGCATGCATTAAACTCACAGAGGTTCATGAGAAAGGCACAGTACAAAGAACAATTTTTAAAAATTAGCTTAGTTGAAACTGACAGATAGAAGCACTTCAAACACTTCTTTAAGATGTATCACTAGAAAACTGACAATCTGGGGGAGTTACATTAACATTCTTAGCTTTATTTCTTTCTTTCTCCTGGCATGCAATGACCTATGACTTCCGGGAATAAGGACTCTTAGGGCCATCTCTGTTGGTGCCTGTGCCTACTCTAGTCAGCGCATGTGGACAACATGAGCACATTCTGGAAGATATTTCCTTTAATATTTAGAAATTATCCCCAGAACACCTCTCTTCGAGTACCCCCTTCACCTCACCATTCAGCTCCTGTGTTTTGTCTGGAATGGTGCCATTTTATGGATAGCCAAAATAATCTGAAATTGCAGGCTATACAGAAAACTTCAGCAATTTATCATGTTTGGTGCAACACTCATGTTACAGTAAGTACCACTCATTGTGTACCATGATGACTAAACCTCTAACAAGGGTCTGCTAAATAAGAAGTTCAAAGGTAATTGAAGGAGGCAGCTCAGTGTAGCATAAAATACACTAAACTAAAAGGCTAAGTCTTAGCTTTTTGTCCTGGATCTGTTGCTGACCAGCTGTGCAACCCTGGACAAATCTCCATCATCCACATCACTTCTAATAGGTACAGAGTATTTTACCATGTGCCAAACTCTATCCTAAGTGCCTTCCAAAAGTCAGCTTGCCACCAGGCCAGTACAGAAGTTCCCTTAATACCCTCATTTTACAGAAGAGGCAACCGGGGCAACCAGGCCCTATACTGCCTCCAGCAGAACCCCCTCAGTATCATAGTTGCTTCCCCATCCTCTCCCTCATCCCAACTCTGACTCTTCAGCAAGTCCTGTTGATTTCCTTAAAATATATACCCTGAAATTGCCTTCCCTCTCCATCTTCGGTGCCAGCACTTTAATCCCATTTGTTAGCAAGACAGTTCAGGTCTCATAGTTTGCACTTTTGCTCTTCTACAATCCAAACTCCATACAGAATTTAAACTTCTTAAGAGAACAAAAGAACTCAGAACAAAACCCAAACTCTTCATCAGTGTTTATAAGCCCTCCTTCATGTGGCCCCAGCCCCTTCCTGTCACTGCACCTTCTCTTATTCATACCAGTCACACTGGCCTGTGGTTAATTCTGTGAACATGCAATGCTACTCCCTGCCTGAAACATTCATCCCCGAATACTTCCCATTGCAGACTTAACACTACTTCCTCACTAACTTTCCCATCATCTCCACTCCTATTTTTCAGCCCTTCACTTGTTTGCTTCCTATCACCTATTCACCTATCACTAGGAATATATGTGATCAGAGAACAAGAGAATGAGAGAGAGGGGGAGAGTATGAACCACACCAGAGGACTAACCCAACTCTAAGGCTAGAGTGAAACCTGGGAACCTTATTCCAAAAAGCTGCCCACGTAACTCTGCTAAGTAATCAGATTTGGAAACCACTGGACTAGAGGATTCTAAGAACATCAAGCCAAACTTTGCCAATTGCTAGAATTTTAATTGCTGAGTATTAATAGATCTTTTTCAACTATCAGAACTTACATATCAAAACATCATGTTGTACCTCTTAAATATATTCAATTAAAAAAAAACAAACAGTAGGGAGTAGCCCAGGAAAAAGAAATGCAGGCCAAAAACAGTGAGAGGTCTTAGTTGTACACAGCAATGTACAAAGCAGGTGGGGTTCCTGAGACTCAGATGACTTGATTTGTAATACAAAGGCATGTGGCAGTCATCCACACCTGTGACAGGCCTTAGGAATGGGATGAGATGGCATCTGAGAGTGGGAATGAGAAAGTACAGGCTTGTTTGCTTGAGTCTGTTCTCAGATCCAATCTCACTCTCAGTTACACAGGGGAAGCTAAGGCAGTGTATCAGATTTTATGGGGTTTTTTTGTTTGACCAGACTTGCCCAGTGGATAGCAATGGGAAAAAAAGCAAGGAATAGGGCTGTGCCTGTGACTCAGTGAGTAGGGCGCCAGCCCCAAATACCAAGGGTGGCCAGTTCGAACCCAGCCCCAGCCAAACTGCAAAAAAATAACTGGGCGCTGTGGCGGGCACCTATGGTCCCAGTTACTCAGGAGGCTGAGGCAAGAGAATCACCCAAGCCCAAGAGCTGGGCTGTGAGCTGTGATGTCACAGGAGCTGGAGGTTGCTATGAGCTGTGATGCCACGTACTCTACCAAGGGCAATAAAGTGAGACTCTGTCTCTAAAAAAAAAAAAAAGAAAGAAAGAAAGTACAGCCTGCGAGAGAGAAGGATAGCTAGGAAAGCCCTTTTATAGTACTTTTTTATCATAGATAACTTCTATGGCAATGTGGCATACTACAGAAAGCATATGTTAGGGGCTCTGGAGTTAGACCTGAGCTTTATGATTTATAAATCTAACCTCCTTGAGTCTCAGTTTTTTTCACTTGCAAATGGGAGGATTAGATTATCTATAGCTCAGGACAGGTGGAAGAATTGGAGGATGTGCAAGTAAAAAGCCCTATACACAGAAGTTATCCAATAGTTACTGTGTAATTATAAAGGCATAAAATGATCAAACTTTATTGTAAGTTTAGAAATAGGCTGAGTGCAGTGGCTTACACCTGGGAGGCTGAAGCAAAAAGATCACTTGAGCCCAAGAATTTAAGGTTGCTGTGAGCTATGATGATGCCATGGCACTCTACCAAGGGTGACAAAATAAGATTCTGTCTCAAAATAATAATGATAATGATAATAATAATGGTGAGTCTCCATCTCTACAAAAAGTACAAAAATTAGCCTGGCATGGTGGTGTATGCCTATAGACCCAGCTACTTAGGAAACTGAGGCAGGAGGATCTCTCAAGCCCATGAGTTGAAATCTATTACAAAACAATACAGTTAGGGGAAGAAAATGGGTATAGATGAAAGAATATTGGCCAGAGTCGATAATCATGGAAACTGGAAGACAGATATATGGGAATTTTTTGTAGTCTCCTCTCTATTTTTATATGTTTTCTAAATTTCCCTTAACAAAAAAAAATTTTGAAAGGACATCTTGAAAATAGTTACTAACTTATTGTTTTGGAATTAATCTACTTTAGCCTCTTTTTGAGAAGTATAAACAAAAACAGTCAGCCATAAATTCAGCCATCTAAAATCAAGATAGACATTCACATATCATGTTCCTGGATTACATATTAACAGTATAAAGTGACCACAAAATAAGTTGCACTTCTGCATAAAGTACAAATACCACAAAAATAATCACTGTAGTAGTGCTTGCTTTGGGAGCACATATACTAAAATTGGAGTATACAGAGAAGATTAGCATGGCACCAGAGCAAAGATTCATGAAGCATTCTATACAAAGAAATAATAATCACTGTAATGTTTTAAATATCGGTAGCTTTCCCATTAAAATATCTCTGTTTTGAACATCCAATTTATTTATCTCTATTAACAGAAGAAATATTTAGTCAGTTAGCTGTTTTAGTGCCAGGGTCTTACTTTGTTGTCCAGGCTGGAGTACAATAGCCTGATCATAGCTCACTAAACCTTGAACTCCTGGGCTCAAGCAGCTCTCCAACTTCGGCCTCTCAAGTAGCTGGGACTATAGGCATGTGCCACTATGTTCAGCTGAATTTTTTTTAGAGACAAGGTCTTGCTATGCTGCCCAGGCTGGTCTCAAACTCCTAGCGTCAAGCAATCCTCTTGCTTCAGTCTTCCAGAGTGCTAGGATTATAGGCATGAGACATTGCACCTGGCCCAGATGAAATATTTAATTACTTAAAAGACCATTCAAAGAAGAACTGAACCTACAGTAAGCACAAGACCAGAGGTTTAAATTTAGAAGATCCATAAAAACACTTCAGTGAGAGGACCTTATTATTGGTTAAATAAAAATTTGAGAAACAAGTAATTATCAAGGCATAGGTGGCCCAGAATGCAGCGGCTTGATACCACTCCTTTCCCATCTGGCTCTCATCTTGAATATGCTCCACTCTCCTATCTAGGGAGGACCAATGGGTTGTCACTATGAATTATGTTTTTGCCAGAAATAGTCACCACGAATATGCAATAGTGCTTGAGAAATTTCTATTTATCATTTAGGATATTACAAACACATACAATCCTCAAATTGAAGCCCCAAAGATAGTTTTTGAGGAAGAAAAAGCCACTAATCTATCAACATCCTGGTCTACAACATGTATAGAAATATAAAGCTGAGCCTCAGTTAAAGAAGGGACTCACTAGGCGGCGCCTGTGGCTAAAAGGAATGGGGTGCTGGCCCCATATACCAGAGGTGGCAGGTTCAAACCCAGCTCTGGCCAAAGGAAAAAAAAAAAGGGACTCACTAAGTGCCTGGTTCAGCACAAATCTAAAAAATGTTTCATAAATTAACCAAAGCATCTTGATGGATTTTACTGCCAGTACCAATATAACATATTCTATTATACTTTAATGATATAAAGTATTTATATCTTGAGGTAATATATGAGTACATGAGGATCAGTCTTGAAATAACATCTCACACTAGAAAGTTTTCACATATGGATAAATGAAACATAAGACTTTCTTTTCTTGGAGACAAGAGTCTCACTTTGTCACCCTTGGTAGAGTGCCATAGCATCAGGCCTCACAGCAACCTCAAACTCCTGGGCTCAAGAGATTCTCTTGCCTCAGCCTCCCAAGTAGCTGGAATTATAGGCACACACCACAACACCCAGCTATTTTTAGAGACAGGGTCTTGCTCTTGCTCAAGCTGGTCTTGAACTCCTAAGCTTGGGCAATCCACCCACCTTGGCCCCCCAGAGTGCTAGGATTGTAGGTGTTAACCACTGTGCCTGGCATTGAAGCATAAGATATTTTTAAGCTCATCCAGCTTGCTGATGGAGAATACCTCAGTTCATTATAAGTCAGCTCTAAAGCAAACACAAAACATGAAGACAAAAGGTGGAGAACTATTTGAAGGCTAGAAGGTCTAAAAGAGATAGCACTAACTCCTACAGAAACCAGGGGCTCTCTAACAAGTTGAGCTATACCTGTTGCCACAGCTCTTAGAGGACTTGACTGCCTTGAACTGCAATTGCTCAAGAAGCACCAGGCCCTGCTTCCAATCATCTGTGAGTTTCTTGAGCATCTTACTCACCTTTGTATCCTTAGCCACTATAGACTGCATAGATGGTGCCTGGCAAATGTTTGTGAATGAGGGAAGCAGGTGAATGGAAGAACTGAGGGCAAATCCATTATAGACAGAAAGTGTCCCAGTTTCCTCACCAATGTATGCTCTAGGTCAGCCTCTAGACTTAACTAGCAATAACCCATGAGACATGCCAGGAAAATTTATATTAATCAAGTACTTGAAAATAAGATACTTGCTATTTAAACTAGGGAAGTAGGCTATTTAAAGGAAATCAGTGGTAGAGCCACTTGTAATGGGGGCATAATCAATTCCCTTTTTAATGAATATAAATTTTTATATTCTGAGGTTGCTTTCAGCAGGAGAGACCTGACTCAAATCTACACCTTGCCTCATTTTCACTTGAGCAACCCTATTTTATACTGTCTGACACTCTCAATCAACTAAAAGGAGATCAAATAAATTGATATAATCCCACTTCTGGATAAGTTTCATCAGTTTTCCCTGTCACCTATTTTTAATGTCATATGGCAAGAAAGTTCCCCGATCCTGGAGGACAGCCAATCCCCCACTGAAGCCAGACTCCGGGCTTTTCAGATTCCCTCAGCATGGACAAATAATACAAGAGTTCCCAAGTAGGGAGCTGGTTGCCAGGTACACCATATATTCGAAAGCACATTTTCAAGGTAAAATCCAAAGCAACAAAGTTACAGTCTTCTGTGAATTGGGCACAGGGATGAGCTTTAGTCAGAGATGATGGGTACACAGTAGACATTTGATAAGTACTTGTTAGTTAGTCCCAACATAAAAATTTGATTCAAGAGATGGGTTTCCAAAGTTCTGGCCACAAAGACATTTTAGTGTCAAAGGAAAGACTCATTGTAGCTCTGATTTAAAAACAGGTAAGAACAAGCAGTGCTGTCATTTCTAGCCATCCAGAGCAGTAAGAAAAAGGGCAGATGGTGGCTAACAGATTAAATCTAATTGCCAAAGATATATATATATTTTTAGACAGTCTCACTATGTCGCCTTCAGTAGAATGCCGTGGCGTCACAGCTTACAGCAACTTCAAACTCGTGGGCTCAAGAGATCTCTTGCCTCAGCCTCCCAAGTTGCTGGGACTACAGGCATCCACCACAATGCCCAGTTATTTTTTTGTTGTATTTATTGTTGTTTAGCAAGCCTGGGCCATGTTTGAACCTGCCATCCTTGGTATATGTGGCTGGTGCTGTAACCACTGTGCTACCAGTGCCAAGCCTGATTGCCAAAGAGTTTTAAAGTTTCACATAGTGTTTCATGGATCTTGAGTAGAGTTGTCACATTTAGCAAATAAAAATGCAGTATAATAGGCTGGGGGTGGTGGTTCACACCTATAATCCTAGCATTCTGGGAGGCTGAGGCAGGTGGACTGCTTGAGGTCAAGAGTTCGAGACCAGCCCGAGCAAGATCGAGACCCCCACCTCTAAAAACAGCTGGGTGTTGTGGCAGGTGCCTATAGTCCCAGCTACTTGGGAGGCTGAGCAAGAGAATCACTTGTACCCAGGAGTCTAAGGTTGCTGTGAGCTATGAGGCCACAGCACTCTACCAGGGGTGACAAAGTGAGATTCTGTCTCAGAAAATAAATAAATAAAATAAAATGCAAGATGCTCAGTTTAATCTGAATTTCAGATAAACACAAAATAATTTTTTATTTCTTTGCTTTTTGTTGTTGTTGAGACAGAGTCCCACCCTATGCCCTGAGCAGAGTACAATGGCATCATAGCTCACTGCAACCTTAGACTCAGGCTGTGGGCATCCCACTGCCTCAGCCTCCAGAAGCTGCTGGAATTACAGGTGCTCACCGCGGTGGCCAGCTGGGTTTTTCCATTTTTTTAGGAGTCAGGATCTCACTGTTGCTCAGGCAAGTCTCAAACTCTTGAGCTCAAGCAATTCTCCTCCTCAGCCTCCCACAGTGCTGGGATTACAGGAGTGAGCCACTATGCCTGGCGACACAAAATAATTTTTTTTTTTT